CCGTCCCGCTGAGCGGGGCAGGCCGGCGGTGCCTCGCCTTCCGAGGTGCAGACCCTCTCGTGAAAAGCTTTCCGGGCTGCTAACTTAAAAGGAGCCCCGGTTTTTGTGGTTTTCGAAATGCCCTGTGACGTCTTGAGTGGTAAGAAATGCAGAGGTCGCGTCTGGGGTTTTGTGGCTTTTTTTACTTGAAGTTACAAATGGCAGAACGTTAAAACTCTAGTCTTGTGGCTAAGCTGCATTGAAAACCCATTGTTTGATGCGTTTGAAAAAAAGGAAGACGTGAGAAGGTAGGATGTCTTTCGGTGATGCTCCGCTACAGGCTGCGGTGAATTTTTGCCGACTTTATACGTCCGTGCTGGCTAATTTACCCAGGCCTCCGATACAGTTAATGGAGGCTGTAATTTGCAATTTACAGCATACTTTCTCCTTTGGCATTGTCAGAAATCTAGGGAAGCGAATCAGGGTTCCCAAACGCCTGAGGTTGTGTAGGTTAAATGTTTGTTTGCAGATGCTGTAACTAACTGCAGTGTTTATTTTCTGTCCAATGAAGCGCTTTCAGAGGACTTTCTAGTTTCACAGCTAGCACCTTGGTTTTCAGTTGGCTCAGTAAGAGACCATCCTGTTAAAATATCCGTGTTCATGCAGCGGACATAAACTTCTACAAGCCAAGACAGAAAAGGTCTGTTTGCAAATGTTCGCACGTTCTCTTTGGCGTACTATCATACAGCAGACAGGGGATTGCTTGGAGTCATAGCTCTCATTGTCTGCCTCTTCTGGGTCTTGCTTCACAAGTGATTGCGGGTCAAAACTGCAGGCGATTCCCTGTTTTGATACTCTCTTACCTTTTATTGCAATGCATGTTTTATTATACTTCTTAATGGAGGATGTATTATAAGGTCCTTTCGGTATCCGTTCCTACAGCTCTGAATCTGGTGCCCTGCATTTATACTTAATGCTGTTGTTTATAGCTAAGGAGTCAGATTTAGTTCCCTTATGGATTTCCTGAGGGGGCTAAGAGTGTACAAAGAGACAGCTGAGTGGAGATCCCTAGTTGTTTGTTGACCGCACTACTCCGTGTTCCCGCAGCCTTAAGTTAACTTTTGTCCTCGGTGTAGCAAAGCCATGCTCTGGCACCCTTCTGGATGAATGTAGGAAACCTGAGAAAATTCTTGTTTTCAGTTGTCAGTGTTACTTTGGTACCTGGACCCAGGACCGTCTGAGCAAGAGATTGTTTATATGACAAAGTAGTCCCTCATCTGAACAGCTCAGTTATCAGCAGACAAAGTAAATGCTATTGGAACCCTTTCCCTTTAGTATTATTGCTTTTTATTCCTCATATTTTATTTAGTAATGATTTATTCTGATTATACAGGTTACCCTTTCCCTACTGCTCCTCCTGTGGATCCATTTGCAAAAATCAGAGTGGATGACTGTGGAAAAACCAAGGGATGCTTCAGGTCAGTCTGAGATTAAGAGTGCATATACCTTTATGTTTGCAAATGCTGACTGATTGCATTGGAGACTTTGGTAAATGTTCCATATTAATTTTAATAAATGTTTATTATTTAAGAACATGCTTTGTAGTTATGGACTATATTATTTGAGGAAACTAGATTATTTAAGCATGTACGTCATAGTTATGGACCTGCAGTTATTTCATGTTTCTTGTGTTTTCGCAAAGCACTTTACAAAACCAGGGCTAGGAAGGTCGAGTAACACTGTGTGTAATTAATTGCTTGCCGTACTGTTTAAATACTATACATTCTCACACTAAAAGAGTAATAATTGCAAACACTTAATTAATGGTACTTTGTGTATAGCATAATGTAATATGTTTTACTGCCATTATACCAAAATGCATTCTTTTAGTTTTTTCTTGCAGAAATGTAATTAAGTTCCATAGCAGCAAATTGCAAGGAAAAGCTACATATATTTCCAATTCTGTTTAGGTACGGTAAACCTGGATGCAATGCAGAGACTTGTGACTACTTTCTAAGTTACCGTAGAATAGGAGCTGATGTTGAATTTGAGTTGAGTGCTGATACCGATGGCTGGGTGGCGGTAGGATTTTCCTCAGACAAGAAAATGGTAAGACACGTACAGCTCTTCACGTTGACAGTGTGCACACTTTTACATGCTAGGATATAAATGGTTTGTATTTGATCTGTCAGAAACAGACCATATAAGGAAAAACTGACTTGCTGAAAACAAACCACCATTTGGTAGCCACCCTGGGAGCAGAAGCCAGGCCTAGTGCCTCCCAGAAAAGTGCCTCATCCTTCCTAACGTGTCCTTTCCCTTCTTCTCTGAGAATTACAACAGTATTTTGGTTCAGCTCTGAATGTCTGAATGTTATTAGCTTTTTGCCTTTTTATTAGAAAAGCCCTCCGGAGGGATAGGCCAATTCACATGGAAATGTCCTGTCGCACTTTATGTCAGTGTTACTTGGACAAAAGGCACATCAGAAACTAAATAGCAAATAATTTTATTCTTCAGTAAATCAGCTGACTTTCAGCAATATAAATATGGCTTTTATCATTAAACTTTGGAAATCTTTTTGTTTCTTTCATACGTGTGTGTTGTTCCAGGGAAGCCACAAATGTCTGACAAAATGACTCCTCTAATTTAAGCGTACATACGCTAGAAAGGAGTCTTGTTAAAATGTCTTCTTCTGTTTCTCTTTCTCCTGGATTTTATTGGGTTTGGTTTTATGCTTATTCCTGTACTTATTTTTTCATTCAAAAGCTTCACTTTTCATTGTGTTTCAGTGAGCAAAGCAGGAGGATGTACTGTGTGAACTTTGAAAAACCTGAGTAATAGACAACTTAAGCAAAGATGTTTTGTCTGTGATCCCTAGTAAAATGTTTAGGATTAAAATGCAGTTCATAATGTAGGTGTTCATATACAGAAACACTCCTGAGTATATAAAACAATACTGAGCCTGTGTCCTAAATCACAAGTAAGAGGACAGGACTGTTTCTTGTACAGTTATAAGCAGTAGTCTGAAAAAATACAGAATTTAGACGTCCTGGGCTAGGACCCACAAAAACAAATGGGAAGAGTCCTGCTGACTTAACAACATCTTTATCAGACCCAGAATGAGAAATAGGAGGAAAATGTGAGGGCAGGTGCTTTTCAGTCATTACTATATATGTTTTAATATGACTCTGTAAATAAACACAAATAAAGATAGAAGTCTGTTGTGTCATAAAGAACAGTTCACGTCACAAGAAATTATTAATATTGTGGGGAACAGTTTTACAGCCAAATTTTGGGAAGAGTTTAGATGTCTGGAAATGCAAGTGCTCAACAGAGTTTTCAAAGCAGCTCAGCACATTTAAGTACTTACCCCCAAGCTATCGGAGATCATGTTACCAGTTTGTAACTCTGATAAACCTGCAGTAGATCCCAGCGTCCCACCGCCTGCACCTCATCAGCCCCTCACAAAGCAGGCATTACCTTTCATCCCAGGCATACCAAGCAGTGTGTTAGGTCTCAGCTTCTGGTAAGAAGAATAAAAATAAGTGTAAAGTAAAAGGTTTTGCTTCCAAATTTGCCACGTACGTGATCTAATACCCATCAGTCAGCTGGACTAAACCAGTTAGCTTCTGTCTTTCTCTCTTGTTCCCCTGCTGACTTCATTCTTTTTCATAACCTCCAGGATGTTTGGGTGTCCTGGGATACGGAGGCTGTAATGGTAAAATGAGTCTGGGTCGAAACAGCTTGGCTGTGAGAATCGGGCTGTGCCTTGGAGGCCCTAGTAAAAATGGTGTGGCCTGGATAGCTACAGAAGTTCAGGAAAAAAACCCTATTTTGTGTCCTCAATAGTTCTGGGGTTTGGGTTTGTTTTTTTTTTTTTAAAGTCCTGTGACCTATTTCTTTGTCTGAAATTACACTATCCTTTTCCACCTTCATGCTTTTGTGCCTCGGTAGGATTTTGTAATGTCATTCTATTAATTGAGATTCAGAATGCTTTTTTCTTTCCTTTTTAATTTTTTATGTGAAAACAGCTTTATTTTTGCCTTTTTGTACTTAAGAATGAGGGATTCATGCTCAGATGTATAAAAATTAATCTTGGAAAAGAAATTATGGAGAACAAGGATAGGCTCAAGACAGAAGCTGGAAAGGTTGCCTGCAGCAGCACTGAAGTGCAGAAACTCTTCAAGCATGTATTTTACCGAGTTGTCCCCTTTTTCCCTCACTTTTGGCACATCTTTTACAAATCCACATAGCAGTATTCCCAGAGAGCCAAACTGCACCTTTTTCTCTCCTTTCCCTATAACACAGAACTCGGAGATGATCACGTTAGCAAGCATCATGTCTATCATCAGTGTGACGTATCAGAAAGATTAGTATTGGTGAAGTAGGACCTGTATTTAATATGGCACTGATAGCTGCAGCAGTTGTGTTCACTAAAATGCCATTCATCCAACTTGCATAGTGTTTTAATGGTTCTAGATACTAAGGCATCTGTGAGATAGTACTCCTAAAATTAATGCTAGTCCCTGAGTGATGCAGTGCTCTACCACTTTGGCAGTGACCTTGTGTAACTCTTCTAGCAACCGGTTTAATATTTCTATGAATGACCTCTACAAACAATTGTCTCACACTTCCTTCTGTCTGTTGTTTCTTTGCTTGATTGTAGTGCTTGGTGGCTGTTTATTCCATGTGAAGAAGCACATGTTGATTACTCTTTTCTTGTATCTTATGGTGTTCTATATTCTGTTACTGCATGCTGAACATTTTTCATTTTCTCTGAAGAGATATAAGAAGTGATGTTGCCTCAAGTGGACACAAGAAGAGATTAGAAAAAACAGGCTGGAATTTATGCTGCTATTTGCCCAGATTTAGTAGATTTATCTCCTCTATTTTACCAAATTTAGTGGGATTTCTGTCCATGATTTGACGCAGTGGATTTTGCACACATCATGGATTCAAGACTGCCAGTTTTTATGAAGCAGGATCTCAGAATTTCACAAATTACGGAAGACCAGCCTTCCAATGATCAATTAATTTGTCTGATGTCAGGGTGATATCATTTCTTACAAATATGTTATACAGGTTAGGTAAAATAACTCTTAAAAAGATCCAAAACAGAATTCAGAGATAGTAAGGGTAAGTAAATATTACTATCCACTTTGTGCTGTTCAATCTAATTGAAGACACATGGTTAGGGAGACAAATATTTGTGTATATGTAACTTGGAAGGAAGGAAGGAATAAGAGCCTCAGGTCTTGATTAGTTTTTGATAACTAAAATTATATACATAAATGAGGAAATGCTTTGTGACACTTTTGTTTTCCTTCTGTCAATATGTTTTTACCATGTAGGGAGGAGATGATGTCATGGCTTGTGTTCATGACGATAACGGAAGAGTCCGAATACAACACTTCTATAATGTTGGTCAGTGGGCTAAAGAAATCCAGAGAAATCCTGCTAGAGATGAAGAAGGGGTTTTTGAAAACAATCGCGTAACATGTCGATTCAAGCGTCCTGTATATGTTCCCCGAGAGGAAACCATCGTAGATCTGCACCTGAGTTGGTACTATCTGTTTGCTTGGGGTCCAGCAATTCAGGGTAAGTTGATTTCCATGCTTCTGACAGAGCTGGGGTGCCAAAACTGATAAATGCCTTTCAATTACAATATTCTTACTAGTTCCTTTCTTAAATGAACTAAATTTCTGGCAGCATGGGGCTTAAAACAGATAAAAAGGAAGACAAAATAAATAATAGTCCTACCTGTTGTGTTTTCTTCACTATGTAGTTATTATTCCCACTCCCCAAAGATAAATTTAGGTGAGGATAATTCATAACTAGAAGTTCTAAATTCCTCTGAAGGATGTTTATTGTTTACTTGAATTTCATTTGTTTTATTCTGAAGTTTAATTTCAGAACACAGAGAAATGACCCTACTCACTGACAGCGTAATGTTGCATGCTCCTGTAGATTTGAAAATTACTTAGCTTTCTACCTGTTTCTTTGGTAGAGTTATAGAAAAAATGCATCTGATGTTATTTCTTTCTGCCCTTACCTATTAAAGGTTCTATAACTCGTCATGATATAGACTCACCACCTGTATCAGAGCGCGTTGTCAGTATTTACAAGTATGAAGATATTTTCATGCCATCAGCTGCCTATCAGACCTTCTCTTCTCCATTCTGCTTGCTCCTCATTGTTGCACTGACCTTCTATTTATTGATGGGAACCCCATGACCGATGGAAAATAGCAAGAATTTGTCAGTGGAAGTTTCTCAGGATGGACTGCTATATGGACGGACGATGCATTTTTCTATTGGAATTTGTATCACACCACCATCAGCATCTAGCTGCTTTTGAACATAGTTAGCTTCTCAGAAGAATGAAATAACCGTCTCCTTTGAGTGGCAGAGTGGCAACAAATCATTTAAGAATAATCAGTGAACACATAGGAGAATATTTTCAGTGTTGTGACTACTTGCTTAAAGAAAAGGAGACTTTTGTAAAATCAATGTGCGTGCCTGTGTGCGTGTGTATGTGTTTTTGGGAGGGGTGTCTGTATGTGTGTTTAGGCAAAACATCTTATCAAATAACAAAATTGCCTTCCAAATTGCTCCCAAGAAGCAAATTTGGGAAAACATTATAATGCTGTTTGGTAGTTCTGGTGCAGACGGTGCAACTCCAAGCGCAGTTTCTGAACTTAAGATCAGGATACCAACACAGCAGTATAAAGCCTGCCCTTCAGCAATGGACAGTTCTCCCAGATTTTTTTATATTTATCAAGGTTTACTTGCTCTGGTACTTTCCAAAACTAAACTTGCATAATCAAGCATTAACATGATTTTTTTCAATGGAAAAGAGGTGATGAATGTCTTTATAACAATAGTGTTTCAATGGCCTGCTTGAAAAAAATGGCTACTTCTTTTATGAGTGAGATATAAAGTTATTTAAACAAGGGGAAAGGAGAATACAGTAATGCAAATTCTCCATATGAAGGAAAAACAGATGTAAAACAGAGAGAATACAGAAGTTCCCAACAAGCCATAGGATGTCCTTCCAATAGATTAAATCAATTTTTGTCTTTTTGTGAAAAAAAAAACAGTACTATTGCTGACATGTAAATACGTTTTTAAGCAGTTGTGTAGTAGTACAAAGTAATCTGTTTTTCTGTGTTGTATGCCTGTGTATCTTGTTCATGTTAAAGACGAATATGGCAGCTGGTGTTAACTTACAAAGAAATGGAAATATAATTTAGATTATTTGTAAGGAAAGACAGGGATTAATAAGAGCAGTATCTTTAGCTTCATCAGATCATTGCTAAAATGTAGTTACTGTGGAAAAAGATGAGCTAAAGAGGAAAGACATTAGATTTTTTTTTTATCACCAATAAATACTACAAAGATGAGTCCTAACTATTACCAAAATGGAAAGTGTCAAAAGGTATTTATAAGCCACAGAATATTATGAAAAAATTTTGATTTCTTGTGGAGAATTTCTGTTCTTCACATAACAGGAAGTGTATGACACATATACACGTAGTAGTCAAATGCGTTTAGATAAGGTTGCTCATTCACTTCCCAACTTGCATTAAAATGCTATTTAAATAGATCTAAAATTTGAATTGTTCCAAAGTTCTATCTAATGTGGTACACTTGAGGACTCTGTAACATAGGATCTGGTAAAGTATGTGATGGACCTCATTTCTATTTTCATTGCTGCATAGAGTAAAAAGATTAACTAGCTTTGATGGGTTTGCATCATTATTCACAGACTGAAGTTTGTAGACTAATTTTTTTTTAGGCTCAGCATTCTTCAAATCTATGCTTAAAGGGTATGAATTAGGTTTAAAGAGGAATTTATCTCCATTCCAAACAGTTTATCCCTATTTCAAAAGAAAGATTGCTTAGTAATACATATTCTCATTGATGTCTTTAAGAATTTTTTCACTTAAAATTGCTGGACAGCGATTCAGGAGGGGGGAGAGAAATTGGGAATGAAGTGAACTTTAAAAAAAGCATATAGTAGCTTTATTTAGCATAAATTACTTCTCTCAAGTTGGACAACCTACTCATCATCTGACAAAATACATAGTGGAGACCACCTAATAAGGAAGGTCTGCACGATGGCTGTAAAATTTAGCCTTAAGATTGGCTGAAGCAGAGCACTGAAGCCTTGGATAATGAGTTTTATATTCAGCAACCAGGCGAAGCAAAGAAATCATTAGGGGAAATTCTTTCTCCTTTATGCTAATTTGTAGGCAGCTGAGCTAGTACAGTTCCTTCTCAGAGATCACAGCTATTTAAAGTAGCCTCAGGGTTGCTGTAGTTTATGGCCTTGTATTTACTGTTTTAGTTTCAGGTATTTACCTGATTACCCACTAAAGGCCTAATCTAATAATTGAAAGGTACTGAAGTAGGATAGAAACCCATTTTGGCTCCTCATTTCTTTTTTAGTACATTGCTGGATTTAGGATAGTCTGGCTGGACCCAGGCACAGTGGTATGATAAAGATGACAATAATAACACCAAGGTAAACGTGCAACACCCGTAGAGCTGCTTTCTGCTTACACGGAGTCATGGTTTAAAGGTTTGAAGTTCAGGCTCTAAAACAACAGCAAATTCAGAGCAGAGGCAGAGCTGCTTAAGGATATCTCTGCTGTGAAGTACGAACTGCCTCAGTCTTCAGCGGTACCCATGTTCTCAATTAGGGTAAAAAATACATTTTGTTTTTCCTTTTTCAGTTTACTTGTCAGTGTGCTGTCTGGTGGTTTTGTCATCGTATTTTTCTCTTGTTGAAGTATTAGCAGAAATGTGCACTTCTATAAAAACTTTCACCCAAGCTTCAAAGGACTTAATTAGCACTAGTGAAATATTTCTAATCAAATGGGAGGAAATAAAAGGCGACAACAAGCAGCAAAGCAATCTATTCTTTGGCATTTCAACTGATGGTTGAGTTTAGCACTGAGTTTGTCTGAGAGTTGCTCTTCAAAATGGGAAAAGCAGGAATATGAGAAATAGGAGAAGAAAAGGGCCACAAGGGAACTGAAAAGGCTTTAACTCAGTGGTATTTCATAGAATCATATTTACCTTTGTATGATACTTGGTAAGTCTTAACATTTGAGTGGGCATAGTAACTTGTCATGGAAGGTATTTGGTTTTCGTGTGGGTTTTTTGCGGGGGGAGGCGGGGTTAATTTTGAAAAGCAGGATTGATCTTTGTTATACAAAGTTACTACAAAGTAACTTTCTTCAAAGTAATGTTTAAGTGATTATGGCATTTCATATAGTTTTGGGGATTTTTCTAATTAACAGGTACCAACACAAACTAGAGGAAAAGGTCTCCTTTGGAAAAGGAGGCAGACATTTCCTTCTCCAAATTAAATCATTTTTAGTTTCTTTATGGTGACTACTAGCAAGCAGCTGTTAAAGAACACATTTCCAAAGTGCTTTTATTCTAAGAACTACTTGTGGGGTGACCTAATAACAGAGGCATAGAGTTTAGAAAGTGCATGTTTAGAGTATGGTGTCCTTTGGAAGTTTAACTTTGATTATTAATTAGACAGATAGGACTGGTAAAGACCATAAGGCATTAATTAACGTCCTTGAATATGTTCTTTCCATGCAGAACAAAATTCAGCTGTGACCATTGCTTGTTACATTAACCATATTATCACCCTCTGCTCGCTCTGTCCATCTTATCTAGAATGTTTTATACTTAAAGTTTGTAAGTTAGTTGGAAGAAAAATCAGCTACGTATATTTGTGACAGTGCCTGTTGCAAAGGGACCTTGTTTTTTTACTGTAGTGTCTGACTTGTACCCTGCTACAAATCATAGAATCATAGAATCGTTTAGGTTGGAAAAGACCTTTAAGATCATCCAGTCCAACCATTAACCTACACTACCAAGTCCACACTAAACCAATCAAGGGTAGACTAGACTAAACCATGTCCCGAAGTGCCACATCTACCCGTTTTTTGAACACTTCCAGGGATGGGGACTCCACCACCTCTCTGGGCAGCCTGTTCCAATGCTTGACTACCCTTTCTGTGAAGAAATTTCTCCTAATATCCAACCTAAACCTCCCCTGGTGCAGCTTGAGCCCATTTCCTCTTGTTCTATTGCTAACTACATGGGAGAAGAGACCAACACCCACCTCACTACAACCTCCTTTCAGGTAGTTGTAGAGAGCGATAAGGTCTCCCCTCAGCCTCCTCTTCTCCAGGCTAAACAACCCCAGTTCCCTCAGCCGCTCTAATAAGCTAGGCCTGAAATGACATTAATAAGTAGGATAGGAAAGAGAGAAAAATAAGTAGAGAGGACAGACTTTTAGAAAGTAATTTTTTTTTTCTTTGCTGGAATCAAATAACTATGTATATTTTTATGTATAGCTGAGATACTCCTAGATGCTAAGTGATATCCCCCCCCCCCAAAAAAAAAAAAAAAGCCTAGCGGATTTGATGACATCATTGGATACAGGGGTGATGCTTTCTTCAAAATTCTGTTATTATAAGGGAAATACTCTGGTTTTGAAAGAGAACGTATGGATGAGAAAAGTTTGAAATCCCTCTGTGACCTTCTTGTCCTTCTTGATTGGTTTTGTAATACTTGGATAGCAAGAAAATAAACACTTGTGGTCTCCCTAATCTGAGGAAACCCCCAGATTGGGTTAAAGGATGTCAAAGCTGTGTTTGGCACTGACTTTTCTAGTCTTCAGCACAGGGATTAGAGAATGACTGGAGCATGGTGCACATCAGCAAACCCAGGCAGTGGTTTTGAAGCTTGCTTGGGGCACCATATCCTGGGTCTGAAACAAGAGGAGCCCTGCCACTGCCTCCACGTACGTGATGGCTACTGCAAAATGGAAATAACAAACCCATCCTACACCAAATCCCTTAAATATGCATATCTTTTGCCAGTCTCTGGACGGCGTTCTTACCATGAGTGTTAATGTCTAGTCTTCCTCTGAAAAGTACCGTGCTCCTTGTCACTCGCCTATGCCCTGTCCCTGTTTGGACAGATGCCTTACGCCGTTTAGCAAGATGATCCCGAGAAGTCTTAGCCCAGCTGTGGAGAGGAGTTAGAGGGTAAGGAGGACTGACACACAGCTGTCCTCATGATTAGCCAGGTCACAATTAGAAATCTGTGTCATTGATCATACTCCAGTTATCTGTAAGTAAATGACTGCTGTAAGTTTAAGGGAAGGTGTGGGTCTTGCTGTTTTTTGTCTGTCTTCTCCTTGCTTTCCCATCCATGCAGTGCATTAGACGTTTACAAAGCAGCAAATTGTTCTCCTTTTTAGAGAACAGACCCCCTGTCTGGCCTTTCTGATCTCTTCTGGGGCCACTGGAAGTTTGCACTACGCTGTACTCTAGAGGCAGAATTAAAGCTTATAGACAAACTTCATAACTTTTATTAGCATTGAAATGGCATTTTGTGGTGTCTTTGTTTGCCACACTGTGTAGGAGCTGTACTTTTTTCCTTTTCTTTTTTTTTTTTTTTAACATATCCAAGTAGTTTCCCCAAAGAAAAGTACTCAGTAATAGCTTTAGGTGAAAGAAACATGTATCTCATAGAATTACAGAATTACAAAACATCTAATCATAGAATCATTTAGGTTGGAAAAGACCTTTAAGATCATCCAGTCCAACCATTAACCTAACATTACCAAGCCCACACTAAACCAATTAAACCAATTAAGGGTAGACTAAACCATGTCCCAAAGTGCCACGTCTACCCGTTTTTTTG